TCCATTGTCAGAACCAAGATCTTGAAGCTTTTATGTTTTCTTCTAAGATTTTTTGGGTTTAGTTCTTATATTTAGGTCATTCATTTATTTTCAGTTAATTTTTGTATATGAAGTGAGGTCCAGCTTCATTCTTTTGCATGTGAGGGTATAATTGTCCCAGTACCATTTGTTGAAGAGACGATTCTTTCCCCATTGTATGAACTTGGCATCTTTATCAAAAATCAATTGCCCATAGATGTATGGGTTTATTTCTGGATTCTCAATTCTATTCCATTGGTCTATATGTCTGTCCTTAGACCATTACCAATCTATGTATCCTTATACTATAGCTTTATAGTACATTTTGAAATCAGGAAGTGTGGGTTCTCCTACTTGGTACTTCTTTTTCAAGATTGTTTTGGCTATTTGGGGTGCCTTGCAATTCCATCTGAATTTGAGAAATTCAGATGGAATTTCTACAAAAAAAGCTGCTGGAATTTTGGTAGGGATTGCACTGAATCTGTAGATTGCTTTGGGTAGTACTGATAACTTAACAATATTAAATCTTCCAATCCATGAACATGAGATATCTTTCCATTTATTTAGGTCTTCTTTAACTTCTTTCAGCAATATTTTATTGGTTTCAGTGTACAAGTCTTTTGCCTCCCTGGTTAAAATTATTTCTACGTATTTTATTCGTTTAAAGTTAAGAGAAATGGCTCCTAATATTAGTTCAGATGGTAAGCCCTCAGGGTCCTTCTATCTTGCTGCTCTGCAGTCCCCATGGTATTGCCTTTGACAGTGTGGTCCCCATGGCTCACCACATCTGTGTTCCAGCCAGTGGGAGAGGGAAGAAGGAGAGGGTTGCTCCCTCTCTTTAAGGTGTGACCTAGAAGTTGTACACACTGGTTCTTCTCACATCGTATTAGCCAGAAAATGTCCACACCCAGCTGCAACGGAGGCTGGGATCTGTAGTCTTTAGCTGAGTGGCCATGAGCCTATCTAAAAATTCTAGAGAAGAAGGGGAGAATGAGTGTAAGGGGGAAAACTAGTGGCTAATGCCACAGTCACTTTGTACATTTCACTGTGACCTGCATGGCAGCTAATTGGCTAAACTTTAAGGATGTAGTACATGAAGGCTTAAGGTACTGATGAAGTTCTGAGAGTGTCCAGCAAAGCTCTTTCTTCAGAGATGGAAGCATTGAACTCAGAAAAGGGATCCCACAGTCACCTGCTTAAGATTGCATAGCAAAGTATCAGAGCTGGGACTAGAACCCCAAACTTTGGGCTCACTTTCAACTATTTCAAGGCGATCTGGCTGAGAGGCAGACAGGCAGTGCCAGGAGAACAGGTCTTTTGGGGCTGGGAAGGGGGCCACCTTTCCCAGCCTATCCACCTGGGGAACCGCTCATCATTTTTCAGGACTCAGCTTTGGGGTTACCTTGTCTCGGAGGTGCCTCAAGTAGCCCTCACTGTATCTTGTACAGTATACTGTACTGAACTGTGATGATTTGTGTGTGTGTCCATCTTCCCTAGTGGAATGCATGCTCCTTGAGGACGGACCCAGAGCTTATTCATCTCTCTGTCCCCAGCGCCTGCCCCAAGGCAAGAGTTAAATGACCTACTGAACACATGAATGAATGTATATTGGAGAATGCTTTCTGTTGCAGATAATACAGTAAAACCTGCAAAAGCTGGGACCCATGTGAGGCAGAAACCTGTCAGAGAAGGAAAACGAAAATATTTTCTACCAATAGAGAGTGATAGAAAAGTGGTAAGCCTGCACCCTGTCAAAGGTGGAAAACTTGGGAGGCATGGAAAAACAAGGCAGTCCCGTCGAGTTCCAGCTCTCACTGGTTTCACTGTAGAAACCTAGCTCATACTAGCTGAAGGGGAAAAAAAAAAAAAGATTGGCTTAAGTATCTGGGCAGTCTAGGTGTGCAGCTTGCTTCAGGTATAGCTGGATCCAGGGGCTTAAGTGGTGTTTTTGGAGCTCTGTATCCCTCTGCCCTTTCTTGTCCACTTTGTGGGAAGTGGTGCCTATGCAGCCCCTGCAGGGATTGGGAGGAAGCCGGGATTAGGAGGATATGGGCTGATGCTGGTGGTCATGGTGAGGGGGAAGGAGTCCCTCTTGGGCATCCCCAGGTCCTGAATCCAGAGCCCAGTCTGGGCCCTTGTTTTTTGGCTTGGGTTTCATGGGGGCTCCTTGCGTCATCTCTTGGGAGCTTCCCTGTGGCTCCACCTCTGCTGGAATTAGAGGCACTGGCTGCACCTCAGGCCGATGGTGGCCTAGACTCCTCCCTTCTGCTTCTCTGGGAAAGCCCAGGGCACCCTGTGGTCTTTCCTAGCAGGGCTCCTGGAGTTCCCATGTGGGGCTGGGACTGGGAGAGAGGAGGAGGAGGGAGGGCTGGCTGGTGACTTGCTGGGAGAGGTGGCACAAGCAGACCCCAGGGCAGTCCCCCTGGGGATGAGAATTCCCCTTTGTGGAAAAGGTGGGCTGCAATGACGTGGGTGCATCATGAGGTGGTGTGTCTCCATGTGGCTGTGTACCAGGGCTGCCTGTCTGTCCAGATGGGCAGTGATCCCTTTCTCAGGCCACCACCCCTGCCCCCCTCTCTGAGCAGGTCCTGGCACCCAGCTGTTGGCTTAGGAGTCTCTGGTGCTATGGAATTCTCAGGTTCTGGGCTGTCAGGCTTCTTCTCTCTAGGGTGGGCCATGACTATGGGCTTCCTAGGCCAGGGTCTAGGGGAGGAATCAGCAGGAGAGCAAGCCCAATGCCCACCCTTGGGATCCCCCTCATTCTCTCTCTGGAAAGAAGGACAGCTAGGCCCCTGGGGAGCCCTGGTTGGTCTGCTTAGGAGAGAGGAGCTCCCTGATCCCCCCACATTCACAGAAGTGGCAGACAGGCATTCCCAGGAAACCCTGGGGGGCAAAAGCCAGTGGCAGGAATTAGCTTCATGTATGGAAGAGCCAGTCACTAGAAGGGTCTTGAGTGCCAGGCAGAGGAATGTGGGCTTACTTCTGTAGTGAATGGGGAGCCATGAACGTTCTTGAGCAGGGGTAGACATGAGCAGATTCTTGTCTTAGGTCCTAAGAGAAGGCACCTTAGAGAAGCATTGGCAGGGAAAGAGTGGAGATAGCAGAGCCAATGAGTAGGCTCTCGGAGGGTCAGGAGAACCTGGTGAGCACAGGTCAGGGTGGGAGATGGTGGGCGTGCGCAGCAATGGAGAGGGTGAGAGAGGCGGCCCAGGAAGAACAGGCAGGACTTGGTTCTGCCTGAGGGTGAAAGACAAGAAGGAAGACTTGGAATCTGGGTGCTCCTTAATGTTTAGCCCTTCCTGTGGTGGCCGGCAGGCACAGCAGGCAGCTCCCTAGGGGCTAGGTTTTCTTGTGGGCCATGGTGGCCCTTAAAGGGCAGGATGTGGGTGCCCTCCAAGGGTGCCTTTATGAATGGAGTGGGAAGGCTGCTGACTCAGCAGGTGGCAAAGTTTTGAGGCTGCTAGATTTTGGAGCGGAAGCATCTGGGAAGGAAGTAGCTGCTCAGGGCTTCCCCACAGCGGACAGCTGGGGGAGGGAGGCGGGTACCAGGGCAGGATGCACTTGGCTTGGCTGAGAGATGGGGAGTCCCACAGCCCAGCTGCTGGATGTATGTGGCGGGGGCGGGGGGGTTTGGCTGGGATTGGAAGGGCTGAGGTTGGGTGTCGGTGACTGGAATTGATGCTAATGGTTATTGATGTGGTTTGCTCTGTGGAAGGGCATAAAGGTGTGGCAGGAGGTTAAGGACCTGACCTGAACTCTTCTCAGCTCTGCTAACTGGTAAATCACACGACATGAATGAAGTCACGCCAGATATCTGGGTTTTAATTTTTTCCTCCTACAAAATGGGACCGAGTTGCCTGGCCCATCTCCCAGGGTGGTCATGAGGAAGTGACATCATGTGTATTCTGGATGATCAGCCCTGGTCTTGTGGCTTGATCAGGATGTGGCATGAGTGATTTTCTCTGTGTGGGATGCAGGGAAAAGTGTGTGCTGCCTGCCGGAGTCAAACACCTAGGGGGGCGGCCAGGATTGGAAGCAGGGCTGGGCCCAGGGAAGGCTGGGAGCCCTGGCTCAGGCCTGACCAGTAGCCACAGATCCACCTCTCAGCTCAGCCCGACGCCAGAGATGAGGGGTCAGCCCAGCCCTGACCTCTCCCACTTCTGACCGGTCTCACATTAATCTAGCAAATGTCCTCTATCTCTGGAGCCCCACACTCATACTCCAGCTGCCTCTGAGAGTTCTCCGCTGGAAGTTTCTGCACAAATGCGCTAACTTTGTACACCGTACACTGAACCCTTCCTGCTCCCTGTCTCAGGGAACACCCTACCTGGTCCCTGGGGCTCAAGACCGTGGACATCTTGACTGCTCTCCTTCTCCCCATGTCCCCAAATGCTGTCACTTTTACCCAGGCCTGCCTCGTCTCTTCTGTCTAGCCTTCTCATTTATCCTGCAGATGCTGCCAGATTAATCTCCATGAGGACAAGTCTGACTATATCATTCCCCCTGCTCAAAAGCCTTCAGTGGCTCCCAGCTGGCTTCAGGATAAAGTTCAGACCCCTGTGTCTGTCCGGCTCCAGCCTCAGCTCCTACTCTCCCCTACCAGCTGTTGCCTCCAGCCAAATTGATCTGTGCACAGTCCTCCCCCAGAGCAGGCCTTGAACTTGCCAACCTTGCCTTTATTTACCCCCTTGCCTCTTCTTCCTTATATTTTATACCAACATCTTCGGGCTGAAAGGGTAGATCCCAGCTGCCCCTTTTCCACCTCCCCTGGTCCAGCCTCCTCAGGAACTCAACTCCCTCCTGCCAGCATCTCTGACAAAGATCTCCCAGCAGGGAGCCTTGTGGGGTGTGGGAGGCCCAGGGAGGGAGGACCTCCCAGTGGGCAGTTGCAGCCTTCCTCCAGCTGGCTCCAGGGGAGAGGAGGTAGGAGGGGACTGGGGAGGACCTTTTGAGACAAAGGCCTCATTTCCTCTTCCTCGCAGGCAGGGGCAGCCTTCCACCACGGAGATCCCAGCTGTCAGCTGCCTCAGGGGAAGATGCGGTATCAGCGGGATAGCCCTGGCGTAGGTGTGCGTGTGGCCACGGCCCTGGGAGTGCTGTGGCTCTGCCTCACAGGTGAGGGGAAGAGCTGGGGAGGGGAAGGGAGGGACAGTGATCATGGGGGGGAGTGAAGGGGCTCCCAGTCCCACCTGGGGTCCTGCCGAGCCATCTCTATCTAGCAGGGCTGGGGCCTGTGCCCTGTCCACACTCGTTTCCACCTCTGGGATCCAACGGGCAACACACTTGACCTTTCTCAGCCTCAGCTTCCTCTGTTATAAAATAGTCATCATGGAATGTGAGGCAGTGGCGGGTCAGTGGCAGAATTCACACCTTCCATGTGGGAGACTGGGGTTTGATCTCCAGTCAATGCACCTCATACGCAGCTACCACCCACCTGTCAGTGGAGGCTTGCGTGTTGCTATGATGCTGAACAGGTTTCAGTGGAGCTTCCAGACTAGGAAGAAAGGCCTGGCAACCAACCTCCAAAAACCAGCCAATGAAAACCCTATGGATCACAATGGTCTTATCTGTAGCCGATCATGGGATTGGCCAAGCAGCCTTTTGTTTTGTTGTGCAGAACCCATTGCTGTTGAGTCAATTCCAACTCATAGTAACCCTATAGGACAGAGTAGAACTGCCCCCTAGGGTTTCAAGGAGCGGCTGGTGGATTCGAGCTGCCATCCTTTTGGTTAGCAGCTGAGCTCTTAACCACTATGCCACCAGGGCTAGGGTCACCATAAGTCAGGGACCAACTTGAGGGCATCTAACAACAATCATGACATAGCCCTACTCTGCGGGACTGGGAGCACTCACCGCGATAATGCTATTTCTTGAACATGCTGTGCATTCTCCCTCCTAAGGGTCTTTGTACCTACTGTTCCCTCTGCCTAGAACTTTCTGCCCCAACACAACTGCAGGATTTGACCACTTACTTTGTTCAGGTCTTTGCGCAAATGTCACCTCCTCAGCAAGGCTTTCCTGGCCACCTTGTCTAAAATAGCACAGCATCCTCCATCCTTCCCTATCCCTGACCTTGCTTCCTTCTTCCTAGCATTCACCTCCACCTGGCGTATGTTTGTTTACTTGCTCATTGCCTGCCTCCCCCTGCTCAAAGAGCAGGGTCTATCGTCAGTATAGACCGTGTGGAATAAATGATGTAAATCTTACCACACAGTGCTTGGCACACAGTAAGCACTCAGTCATGGTAGATACTTTAATAATAATATCCTCATCATATTTCAAATCCTAATCAACATTTTGCTCAGAGGGAGAGACTGGCTTCTTCAGATAAAGCTGAGTGTCTGGCGCCATCTTGTGGCCACAAGGGGTGATGCTGGCCATCGCTACCTATGCTTGCTCTGACTTCTCTGGAAGGAGAAAAGGCTTTGTCTGGGTGCCTCCAGGTTTCATCCCTTTAAGGAGGACACCCTATTCCAGTTAGCTAATCTGGGGCACTTGGGATTGCAGCAAGAGAGCCAGGGCCAGCTTCAGACCTTTAGAGACCTCCAAGCACTGCAAAGATTATGACCTTGTGTGTAATTCACAATAAAAATGCCAACCATAAAATAAATGCTTTGCTTTTCCAAACCGAAGAAAACTTTCATAGGTGCTGTAGTCCACTAGCTTTTTTTCAAAACTGTTTGATTGTCACACTTCTTGATTCTGCCTGCTTTGCTGGTGTCCAAAGCACACACTTAGTCTGACCATTACCCAAGAATGGCAGTGCCAGGGTGGGGGGGCCTCTGTCCAAAGAAAGGCTATCAGAGACCCCTACCGAACTTTCTAGAGCTCTAAAAGAAGAGGTGGAATGGAGGCAGAGGTGACTGGGTAGGGAGGCTATGGGGGTGAGTGCACAGGAGAGAGGGCGGGGGTGGGGTAGGGGAACCTACCCTGGGTGGGGGAGGTGTTTCTCTGGGGGCTCCAGCCCTGGACAAGTCCTGGGCTCTGCCTGTGTTCTGGGCTCTGCCTCTGGGAATGGAATTGATCCTGGGATGCTGGGATTCGTGCTTTCTGCCCTTCCCTCACCTTAGCCATCAGCAAGTCCTGTGGATACCCTCTCATAAATAAATTCTGAACCTATCTCGTTCTCTGCTTCTCCACTGCTGCCCTCCAAAGCCTGGCTGCCACCACTTCTTACAGGAACTGCTGAAACAAACTAATTGAGCCCCCTGGTTTCCCTCTTGCCCTCTGTCTCAGTCATCTGGTGCTGCTCTAACAGGAATACCACAAGTGGATGGTTTTAACAAAGAGAAATTTATTGTCTCATAGTCCAGTAGGCTACAAGCCCAAATTCAGGGCATCAGCTCCAGGGGAACACTTTCTCCATTGGCTCTGGAGGAAGGTCCATGTCATCAATCTTCCTTTGGTTTGGGAGCTTCTCTGCGCAGGAACCTCAGGTCCAAAGGATGTGCTCTGCTCCTGGCACTGCTTTCTTGGTGGTATGAGGTTCCCATGTATCTCTGCTGGCTTCTCTCTTTTATATCTCAAAAGAGATTGCATTCAGACACTAATCTTGTCAACCTCATCAGTATAACCTTATCACAGTGATAGAATTTACAACACATAAGGAGATCACGTATAATCTCATCATAGTGGTAGAGTTTACAACACATAAGGAAATCACATCAGATAACACAATCACACAATACTGGGAATCATGACTTAGCCAAGGTGCTACACACATTTTTGGGGGGACACAATTCAATCCATGACACCCTCCTACAATCCAGCCTCCACAGAGAAGCCACAGTGTGTTTTAAAATGGTGGTGCAGTGGTTAAGAGCTAAAGCTGCTAACCAAGAAGTCGGCAATTTGAATCCACCAGCCGCTCTTTGGAAACCCTATGGGGCAGCTCTACTCTGTTCTATAGGGTCACTGTGAGTCGGAATTGACTCAATGGCAACAGTTTTGTTTTTTTTTTTTTTAACCCAGATCAGGCCTGATTAAAACCCCCACTGCATGCAGAATTAAACCTAAGCTCCCTCCCTGGTCTCACAAGTCCTTCCCATCCAGATGCTTAGCCACACTGGACATCTCAGGGTCTCTGGGCCTTCCCACCTGCTGTTCCCTCTGCCAGGAGCACTCTCATCCTGGCTCTTTGTATGTCCAGGTCTTTTTCATTCTCTTTAAATCTCAGCTTAATATCATCTCTTTAGAAAGGGCATTCCTGATAGCCATATTTAAAGTAGACCGTTTTCTTTTTCTTTTTTTGTATAAAAAATTCATCTCTATTTAGGAAAACGAAACACAATAAATAAATTTTTTGGAAAGTACCTGTAATCCTGTCTCATACAGAGAAAACCACTATTTACATTTTGGTGCATACTTCTCTAGAACCTCGCCTCTTCTCAATTTTTGAAAATATATACTTACGGGAAAATTGCTAGCAGCACAGACAGCTGTAAAATACCTACCAGATTTTTGAAAAGCTACAACCCTCTTTTCTAATCTGTTAGCTTATTTTCTCTCTTCATACCCCTAATCATACAGTGATGGACATTTCTGTGCTAGTTCGTCCCTCCCTCCCATTAAAATGTAAACCCTACAGGGGCATAACCTAGGCCTTGTTCTCTGTGGCATTTCAAAATGTCATCATAGGCAAATAGTAGGTGATCACTATATTCTCCTGGAAAGAATGATTGAATTAATGAATGAGAAGCACAGGCACTTACTTTTGGGTCTCAGACCTAAAGGGAACGGTAACAGACCCTGGGATTAGCTGGGGAAGCAGGGGGAGGACCTGGGAGGCCCGAGTGTTCCCGCCCCTCCTCACCGCCCCGCCCCTCCGTTGCCGCCCCCAGGCGCCCTGGAGGTTCTGGTCCCTGAAGACCCGGTGGTGGCCCTGGTGGGCACGGACGCCACTCTGCGCTGCTCCTTCGCGCCCGGGCCCGACTTCAGCCTGGCGCAGCTCAATCTCATCTGGCAGCTGACAGACACCAAACAGCTGGTGCACAGCTTCGCCGAGGGCCGCGACCAGGGCAGCGCCTACGCCAACCGCACCGCGCTCTTCCCGGACTTGCTGGCGCAGGGCAACGCGTCCCT